CCGGGACAGGAACCGGGACTGGAACCGGCACCAGGACCAGAACTGGCACCGGGACCGGGACCGGAACCGGGACTGGGACCGAGACCGGGACAGGAACCGGGACTGGAACCGGCACCAGGACCAGAACTGGCACCGGGACCGGGACCAGAACCGGGACAGGAACTGGAACCAGGACCGGGACTGGCATCAGGATTGGCACCAGCACCAGAACCAGGACCAGAACCGGCACCAGGACCGGCACCGGGACTAGAACCAGCACCGGGACCGGAACCGGAACCAGAACTGGAACCAGGACCGGCACCAGAATCGGGACCAGAACCGGCACCGGGACCGGAACCGGGACCAGAACCGAGACAGGAACTGGGACCAGCACCAGGACCAGAACCGGCACCAGAACAGGGACAGGAACCAGAATCGGGACTGGCATCAGGATTGGCACCCGGACCAGAAACAGCAACAGGGGACCGGAACTGGCACCTGGATTGGCACTGGCACCAGAACTGGGACCAGAACTGGCACTGGAACTGGCACTGGGATTGGCACCAGCACCAGAACTGGGACCGGGACCAGGATCAGCACTGGGAGCAGAACTGGCACCAGGACAGAAACTGGAACCGGCACCGGGACCAGAACCAGCACCGGGACCAGAACCGGCACTGGGATTGGCACCAGGACCAGAGCCACGACTGGAAGCAGGACCAGAACCGGCACCAGAACTGGGACTGGAACTGGGACCAGAACTGGCACCAGGATTGGCACCAGGACCAGAACCGGGACCAGGACCAGAACTGGGACTGGGATTGGCACTGGGACAGGTACTGGAACCAGCACCAGAACCAGCACCGGGACCAGCACCAGAACTGGGACTGGCCCCATCACCGCAACCGGGACCGGCACTGGGACCAGCACTGGCACTGGGATTGGCACCAGAACCAACACCGGGACCGGGACCAGAACTGGGACCAGAATCAGGACCGGAACTGGCACTGGGATTGGCACCGGGACCAGAACCGGCACCAGAACCAGGACCAGCACCGGCACCAGGACCGGGACCGGCACCGGGACCAGCACCAGCACCAGAACCGGGACCAGAATCGGGACCAGAACCGGGACTGGAACTGGGACCGGAACCAGCACCGGAACTGGCACCGGGACTGGAACCGGGACCAGAACTGGGACCAGAACCGGGACCAGAACTGGGACTGGAACTGGCACCGGGACCAGGATCAGGACTGGGAGCAGAATTGGCACCAGGACTGGAACTGGCACCAGGATTGGCACCAGGACCAGAACCGGGACCGGAACCGGGACCGGAACTGGCACCAGGCCAGCACTGGGACAAGCACTGGCACTGGGACTGGCACCAGGACGGGGACTGGAACCAGTACCAGGACCAGCACCGGATCCAGCACTGGCACCGGGATGCACCGGGACCAGCACCGGCACTGGGACTGGCACCAGCACCACAAACGGCACCGGGACCAGCACCGGAACCGGCACTGGGACTGGGACCAGCACCAGCACCACAAGCGGCACCGGCAGAGCCCCCGGGGCCACGGCCTGGCAGCCGTTTGGTGAGGATCCGGCCAGGATCCAGCCAGGAAGCGGCAGCGACCCAACCGGAACCCAACCGGGAC